CCTCCACTGCCTCCGCCTGGAGCAGGCGGGCTTTGAGGCGAAACGGTGCTCCCGGTCGGTCGAAGAGCTCCGTGGCGTATCGCTTAATGCACGCCCACGCTGCTTTGCTCCTGTGGTTGATCTCTCGGGTAAGGTCGCCCTGCTCGTTGACGAGGCCGCCCAGGTATCGGAACTCGGTCGTCTGTGCGTACCTTTGCCCCGCTGCTTGGATGGTCAGCACCGGCGGTGGCGGCGGCGGCGGTCGCTGTCTCTCCTTCACCCGCATCACCAGGGTCTCCGTCTTCCTCTCCGACACCGTCAGCCCGCATTCCCGGAACACCTCCACGATAATGGTCATCATCCTCGCCAGGCCGTCGGCGGACTTCGACACAACGCCGGCATCGTCGGCATATAGCATCATAGTACCCGCCCCAGTACCCGCCCCTTATTACCCACGTAGACGGACATCCGTTTCGGAGGACGCGTCCCTCTGGCGCTATCCGCGGATGCCGCTGACCACAACCAGACTCTGTCTAAGGCTCAGCCGCTGAGCATGTTTACAACGCCAAAGGCCTTCGATATATCCAAGATTTGTTGGATTTGAATCTGCCGGTTGTGTGCGCAGCAAGCGGAGTTTCATGATGTCACCAACTCGCGCCTGCTGCTTCCCACGTCATGATGACCTCGACATGCACCGTCATCCATTGTACCATGTGGTGGGGTTGGATTGTGTTATGGTGTAGTGTTGGACAGCTTTGTTGTGTTGCATGTTGGACGCATCTTCTACGATCAATTCCTTCTCGAGAGTCGTGAAAATTCGGATGACGTCCTCTGTCTGTATCAACAGAAAAGCAACCAGGCTGCGGTGTGCCCCATGTACATGAGCGTCGTATCTTAAAGTATTTACGTACACAAGCAAGCGCATTGGTAAGGCATCACATGCATTGCCGTCTCTCAGCCGCGGGTGTCTACGTACGTACACCAATAGTCTACACGCTTTCCCGTTCAGATAATTAGTTCCGAGCTCGTCTTGCGATGTTGCTTGGTGGACCGAACAATATGAGGTTGATTACAAGAACGATAGTTCAGGCAGCGGCGGTGGATTCTGCATGCGCATATGCGCATGTACAGTCGTCCCCGCTTTAAAGACACCATTGTTGAAGACACGCCCCGCTTTCAGGATACAACAAGGCTTAGCGACCATGGGTACAGGGCAACCCGGCAACGAGTTATAATAGTTCGCGCGAAGCGCGAAAAAAATACGAAGAGGCGTATTCGAATGACGCGTCCTTTCGTTGTCTTAAATTTTGCCAGAAGGATTCCATGTGTGGTTATTCAGTGCCAGAGGTTGCGGGTTCAATCCCCCTCAACGCCAACGTACGTTTGCACCTTTTTTTTCCCCGATTTTTCTTCACGATGGGAGGGTCATCACCACCTATCGGCGGTAAATCAGCGAGTAAACCACCGTTTACGCGAAGGAAACTGTAGTTTGTTGCTGTACACGCCTGCAATATTGCAGTCTGCGCGAAACATGGCAGCTTTTTTCTGTCTCGTGTGCAGCTTCAGAACAACATCATCTGTTATTTTCTACAGGAAAAGAGTATTTTTCGTGCTCGCCATCAGATCGTGACGTCTTGTTGAAGCGTTTAGTCATAAACTCTCGCCCAATTGTCGTGTCGTGCTTCGAACCAAAGGNTATTTTTCGTGCTCGCCATCAGATCGTGACGTCTTGTTGAAGCGTTTAGTCATAAACTCTCGCCCAATTGGCGTGTCGTGCTTCGAACCAAAGGTACAGAGAAAAAAAAACGGTATCAACATCATAATACATATGACTCGCCGAAACCATGACGCGTAACCTCTCCTGTGTCGCATGCTTCAGGTGCAAGCTACTTCCACAGAAAAACCGGTTCCTCCCTGCATCATATTGCTGGGCGGTTTTATACAACAAACACACCAGGAACCCCATGCCCGTTTTACGTATATACAAGTAAAATTCAGCTTTCAGTGTATGAGCCACGGCAGACATTGCAAAGGCAGGGCGGGAACACCCTTTACTTCCGTGCTGAAATGTACTTCATTTCGCTCTGTGGNCTCTGTGCGCGCCGAAACCTGGCAAGAGGCATGCAAGAAGGAAACACAGCGAGTGGAAAATCGGACCACGGCTCAAGCTCCATGAGAGAACCCAGGTGGAACCAATTTCGCACACACCACACGGCAACACGGCACAAGGCCTAAGGACTAAAACGCAAACACCCCTGNAGTGTATGAGCCACGGCAGACATTGCAAAGGCAGGGCGGGAACACCCTTTACTTCCGTGCTGAAATGNTGCGCGTCGAAACCTGGCAAGAGGCATGCAAGAAGGAAACACAGCAAGTGGAAAATCGGACCACGCCTCAAGCTCCATGAGAGAACCCAGGTGGAACCAATTTCGCACACACCACACGGCAACACGGCACAAGGCCTAAGGACTAACACGCAAACACCCCTACGACGAAAACACCACAGGGGAAACAAGCCCAAAGTACGAACGAAACATATCTACGGACGGCGAGAGGCGCATGCTACTGGACCTGCTCGTATTCGTTGAAGACTGTGAAAATGCCGTGCACGGGGCGGGTGCGCTCTCCGTGCGCTATTGCCCCTAGCCGAATGATCTTCGCAAACTTGAACGAAGCATATCCAGCGAGTACGGTCCGTCCCAGCGCTGGTGCACGCGGTGCAAATAGTCCTCCCGCGTCCACTTCACGCCTTCCACCTCCAGCACAGGAAGTTCTGAGAAGTACGTGCGCCACACGTCCCGCAGGTAGTGGTCCGAGGGCACCGCACCGCAGTACTTCTCGGTGTCATCGAAACTCCCAAACTTCTCTGGTACTGGGGCCCCTCCGAACAAGCTCACCCGGCTCGATCGCCGGGCGTCAGCCAGTGACACGCACTTCAGTTGACATNCATGAGAAACGAAAACCGA